AAAGAGGAAACTTCGCTGCATCTTCCTATGATAAAAACTCGACTTCGATTACTTTACCAAAAAATGGATTTTCTGAGGGGAGGGGCCCCCTTAATTAATCAAAGACTTTTTTCTTTTTACAAACAAAAAGGTGCCTCTTTCTTTTTTCTGACACCAGTAGCTACTATTCATATGACAGATGGTGAAGCAACTTGTTGCATGGGTTGGACATGGACATCTTGTATGGATAAAAGAACAAATCGTATAACATTAAAAACATTTATTGCATGATATATTGTTGCAACATGTTTTGATATAATTATTACAGTGATATTCTGTCTTATTCTTTATCATTGGCATCGTATTTATGTTTAAATCTCATACCACATCGACAAATAGTTTTTTTTTTATTTTTTATTTTCTTTTCATTTTTTTCGTGTGTCATAATTTCATAAAAATTATTTAAAGAAATAAGTGTTCAACTTTTCATCAGTAGTTTTTAATTTTTGAACAATATCTGTATCTTAAAGATTTCATGATATAATTGTTTTCATGCATAAGATATATTATAATAAAAAGCATATCAAAGCAGAAGGATCAAATTCATCACTGTTACAAGGAAACAGAAAAAGTGACATTGTTATTGCTATAATAAGATGATTACAAAAGTTTTTCGTCAAATACAGTAATATTATTATTTAGTAGTTCATCATGATCATTATTATTATCTAATGTTGTATTAATCATACTAAATCCTTATGTGTCATATTATTCATTGTAGTAGGAGATGAAATTCTTGATGAATTTATTGGTAACATAGGTTCATCATGAAATTTTTTATTATATGCAATAAGTTGAAGAATATCTTGAAGAGATATATTTTTATTTGATGTTGTTGTTATTGAATTATTATTATCACGATTAAATATAATAACATTAACATAGATTACATCAGGTAATTGTATTGGTGTAGAAAAATGACATGTTATTGATGTACAGTCAATAAATTTTGATAAATTTTTAACATGTTTTAAATAATTACCTTGATGATTAAAAAATCGATGTACACGACCATAAGCTTTTACACGATGCTTTCCACTAGGTAAGAATAAAAAAAAAATAGATTATAAGTTTTTATATTGTTTTCTTAACATACGAATAATCTGTTGATATATCAAGAATACATCTATTCGGATTGAAAATATCTTGATTAAATGATGGATAATTAATTGTATATGAAGCTGAAAATAAACATAATTAAAATAACTATCACGACTGTAAAAATTAGTTAATTCACCAACGACAACAAAACTGAGAGAAGAATAGTCTACTAGCAAGGTTTTATATTCATTTTTCTGAGATCATGTAGGAGTAATGCTCAAATAGATCGTATGACTAGATGTAACAATCACTAAACTATATTATGCAAATCTTTTGTTTAAAAAAAATATCATCCGACTATTAAAAATCAACGGCAAGCTTTATTTTCGAATGTTATCATTTTTCCAACATAAGAATACTTTGCCAAATAGTAAGTATATCGAACCTACAACTTGAATTTAATTGTTGAATTATCTTACACGTGGAAACTTAAAAGTTCGACATTCACTTATTCAACCGTTCATGTAAACACAGACACATTATACTATATCAATAACCTGTCGTATCACAGATAGAGAAGGGTGTCTGTCTTTGAGAAGCAAACAAAGAATGATCGAAAGAACTGTTTAGTTCAATAAGAAATTGAAAAACAATTCGAATTCAAATTCATTGAGTTTGTCTATTTCGATCGACTCTAGCACGTAGTCTAAAAACAGAGGCAAAATGTCTCTTATGATAGTCTCTAACATCATTGCTCTAATATTGTACTACATAGTTTGTGTAAAACAATGAATGAACAATCATGTAAACAACTATATATGATCCTATTCTAGTCTTTAAATTAACTTACTTCCAGGTAAATAAACACTTGTAACAGCATCAAGATCATCGTGCAAATTAGCCGAATGAATCATATGTGCATATTTTGATAAAGTTATATGATCAACCTTTTAAATAGAAATATTTTATAAAACAATTTCATACAACATAATATAACTGACTTTTAGACTATAACAAACATCTGTTTGTTCAAGTGGTGTTAAGAAATCTCGACAAAACAGTTCTTGAAGTAATTTACTTGCTAAACCTGTAAGAAAGCAAATTAAAAATTTATTTTCTTCATGAAAAAACAAAAAGTACAAATAATTTTTACCAAACCAATCATTTTCTTCAAGATCATAATCATTCCAAAATTTTTCTGTTTCATCTTTATTTAAATAAGAAAGTATTTGTTTTGGATACCATTTTTCTACTAATTGTGTTCCTTCAATAAGCACAGCCTAAGTAAAAAAAATATAAAGTTTTATTTTATTTTTATAAAATAAAAAATAAAAATCATACTGTTAAATCAGCTTCTGTCAATCGAATACGATCATGCTGATGACCATGATGTATTTGAAGTAAATCATTACGTCTGTTTTTAAACAAAAAAAAAAAAGAACTGAAAATTAACAAGCAAACAAAAAACTATCTAAATAAATTTACTTGTCAATTGCTGTTTTCAAATTTTGAATATGTTTATTAACAACATCATTCATTCGACTATACACTGATGGACTATCTGTTATTTGAATTTGAGCTGAAAATGGTTCAAATGCTGCATTAAAAAATTGTCTACATAAAGAAAAAGAAAAAGAAAACATTCTTATATTTTTTCAGTCAATAAACTAAAAATCAAACCGATATTCATTAATTGGTTTCATTAAAATTTCTTCAATATATGAACGATAAATCTTTAATTCCTTTTGCTCAATTAATGATTCTAATGCTGCTAATACTTCTGGTGATGAAACTTGATAAAAATATTGTGCTGCTAAACCTGGACCAGCAATACGTCTTGCAAGAAAACTATCATGTGCAGGAATTCGAGCTAAACGTTTAATAATCAATTTAAATACTATTTGATCATACAATCCACCAATAAAACGATGTAGAAGAGCATCTAAATTATAGATTATTAAAAAACAATAAACATTATACGGTATTTATTTTTCAAAATAACTTACAAATAAGAATTAAAAGAGAAGTTATTGGACTAACAATTAATGCAATTAATACTAATATTGGTTGGATAATACCACAGAGTAGAAAATCAGTTATTAAAATATTAATAAGACAAAAAACTTTTCGACCATATTCACCTGAATTAAAAATACAATCAATTATTATGAAATAATTATACTAATTCATTTATTATTACCAGCTGAATTTGCATCATATATAAGAATTTGAAGTATATGAAATAATAATGTTAGAATTGGCATCCTAAATTTAAATAGGCAATCAAAATTTATTATACTACATTATAAAAATTTACCAAATAGGTGATAAAACACCTAATATAAAAGAGCCAGTTGAAAGAAGTACACAAGAAACTGGGTAAATAGCACAAATGGCGACAGTACCAACAATACCTTTTGCTACATAATTCCAAAATCGATTGAATATTCTTTGCATATTCTTTCCCAAAAATCCTAAAACAAAGATTTTATTGATTCTTCTTCTTTAACATTTGATTAAACAATACATTGAGTATGTAAATTTATGATTTCTCTGTTTAATTAAAAAAAAAAACTAATTGTTCTTACAATAAACTTTTAATAAGAATCGTACGATTTAACTAGGAAACACCATTCGACTTCATATAATGGCTATGAGTAGGTCTATGCGAAACTACGAAAAGTTGAAAAGGATGATGACCGTTTTAATGAAATTTTTATTGAAAAGCAAACATTTAGTAAACCGTTGTGTTTCTTTTTTTTTTGGAACAATGAATATCTTGAAAAAAGCATGTTTGTTTTTATCGAAAATTTTTTCGACTACCTAATGACTATTTAATCTATCTATACAGCAAATTTCATTAAAACAGCATCAATGGGTCATGGTTCCAAATNCAGGAATTGTATTAGCAACTATTTGTATTTTTTTCAGCTTATCTTAGTCTTACAGGGACCTATTCATAGTTATCATATGAAGTCGAACAACATTCGATTGTTGAATGTGTTAACTTGCAAATTAGATTTTTCAATCTTGATTTCTCTTCCATATTATACTGAGTCTTGAAATTTTAGTATCACTTTTCATCTATTGCATTTTAATAAATTTGTCATCATTTCATTATAAAAAACAACACTTGTGAATTCGATTGTTTATCTGCATACCTCGATCAGGTGCTTGTTCGATTTTTTGTCTTGAATGTCTTACATGATTCCAAAGAGCAACAATACGTGAAATAAATGTTTCTGTTTTTGAAGATGGATCTTCATGAAGTTTCAACTGAATGAAAAGAAAAATTATCATAAAATATCAAATAAATTCTTTTTTTTTTCTTTACATACATCATCTTGATTTAATTTATAATCAGGTCTAAATGGCCTTGGAGAAAATAGAGCTCGAAAACTAACTGGACTAGCAAATGGAATAACAAGCTAAACAGAAACTAAATAAAATAAATGCTTGATTAAAACGATATCTGTCATACACAAAATGTATAAATAGCATTTGAAAGCCAACAATATGTACGAAGGGCAAATAATTTCCATCTCCAAAATGGATATCTTGTTGTTGTTGAATAAGTTATTTTTCGTTGAAGATAATATTTTGCATCAGGCTAAAAGTACCAATACTAATTATACACTCTTCAAAAAATAAAAATAGTTGCTAATACAATTCCTGTGGATTTAAAATATGCAACACGATGTACGTAGTTGCTGTTACTAATCACAGAGAGATTATTTTATTCGTTCGATTTTGAGACATATTTCTTGACAATCATTTTACTTAATGCTTCCGAAATACAATAAAGATGTAGTTCATACGCTATAGCAAGACGCTATTAATATATGATCATAGACTTACCAACACAACCTCGGGCATCTTTTAAGAGCCTTATGAAGCTAATAATAGATTTCCGAAGTTTCAACAAGCCTGTCTGAAACTTTTGAAAGGTTTTCGAAACTTCGGATGCATATTTTCAGTTTCGAAAAACTCTTAAAAAGTATCAGACAATCAGAGTCTATAGTAATATAAAAAGACAAAGAAAATTTACATCAGAGTCAATCAATCTTCTTTGACTGTCTTCTTCTCCAGATGTAGTATATTTAGCAAATAATGTTGGAATACGTTCAGTAGGGAGTGGATATGTTCGTTCGATAACCCAATTTTCTTAAAAAGAAGATTTAAAAATACAAATGACTTTTTTTTTAAATTTTACTTGGAAACCATATCGATCGACTACATTCAATTGTTTTCGAAGGTTCAATCGGGGATTTAAGATTACAACGAAGAATTAATTCATGCTAGAACAAACAACAAAAAATAAATAAATAAATATATGTAGTAATATTTGAAAACATTTTTCTTTAATTACATCTTTTCGAAATATAAAATCTCGTTGAATAAAATATGCCGCTTGTTGATTTCCTAATGCTTTACATTGATCGATTGATAATTGATGTGCATCCCATTGATGTTGAAGAATATAATTTCGTCTTTCTTCAAATAATTTGCTTTCAATCCAACGATGAATTTTGGATTTTATTGGATGTTCACGAATTAATTTTTCTCTTATCTAATTTTTTTTATTAAATCGATTTTATATTTGAAATAAGAAATAGAGAAAAATAAATACCATTTTAAGATGTTTTTCTAAATCATCATTTAAGTTTTGAACAACTGACTTCATTGTTAATATAGAACGAGCTTGTGAAACTAATAAACGTCCAAGACTAGGTGATAATTCTTCAATTTCATCAGAATTTTCAATAGTTTCAAATGCTCGTTCAACATATTCAATATTTAATTGCGTCTGAACTCGTTTAGCCACTTCTTCTTTTGATAAGCCTAATTCGTTTTGTTCATCTGAGATTCAGAAAAAAAAACAGAGCCATAATGAAAAAAGCAAATATCTTTAATGGTCAGAAAAATGTTTTACTTTTATATTGATTAATTAATCGTCGTTTTGTTGTATTAAACCAATTTTTTGGTGTATTTCCACTAAGAAGGGTACTAATAATCGATGTTAGTTTCGTTTGAAGATCATTATTATATAATCGAAGATCAATATCAATATTATTTGATGTTACAAAATGATGAGGATATGGCAGCATTCGAGGTGGACAATTCTGAAAAGAATAATATTTCGATTTAAATGTATACTAATATATCTTCATGTAAAGCCTTTGACATATAAGAAGACCTTTCTCTAGAGTAGTGTCCTTAAACTGGACCGAATATCTGGCATCAAGCCTGGCCAGAAGCATAAGTCTGAATGTCCATTTTCCTGATGATTTTGCGTGTTGGACATGAAAAAAAAATGTTGATTGAAATCTTGGAGATAATTTTAAACTCGGATCCGACCCAATAATTAATGAGATTTTGACGTTTACAAATATGTTTACTACTTTAAACTGCTAATTTACACAAAAGCGTAGGAGTGAAAACCAGTTCGATCAGGACTGAGCAATTTATTGTACTTGAGAACATGTTATAGAAGTGGAAATGGATATTACTTTATATGACGAAGTAATTGAATACATGAAAAGAAAAATAACTTATCAAAAAAGTTAAACATCTATTATTGTGATGGAAAAATCATTCATGTATGTATCTACAATTATGATGCTAAAGTAGAGAGACATCAAATGAATTCGGAATTACTTGATTCATTTGTTTTTTTTCTTGCTGTTTACGGAAGAAATTAAATAGTATACGTTTTCATCAAAAAAATTAAATTTTGAAAACCATATTATGAATGTGAAACACTATCAGATGTCGATTAGCTTTGGTGCGGATCAGTTTACGAAAAACCCTATTCGTACATGATCCTACTTTGAAAATCAATTGTTTTAAAGTAATTTCTACAACTTATTGATCATTTTTATCGTATTTATGTCTATAATATCTAAATTCAGTAAAGGCAATACATTACTTTCGTCTTCCTAGAAACATATCAGTTCTGAGCTTGAAAAACCTTGAGAAATACTTGCAAGTATGGGCCTTCTCGAGTTCGAATACTTCGAGTATATTGACCAGCTCTGCTATTGTATACTAATTAAAAGATCTCTTCACTTTTGCACATTCGTCTATAAATTCAACAACGTTTTTAGCACGAAACAGCATATTCACAATTCAAGAAAACATATTTTCAGGTATACAACTCGAAGTTTGTTCAATGAAGTACTCTATTTGAGTCTAAGAACGCATTTTACTAATTTCTTTTGCAGACAACTGTATTAATTCAAATTAGTTTGGGACTAATACCTATGCTACTGGTACGTTTGATTGTGAATGAATTCCATCTACACTATTCAAATCTCAATATAAGCAACTGACATAAATTAGTTTGAACGAAAAAAATTCATTTTCTTGTTTTTGTTAATTATTTAACTATTGAGAACATAAAATTTTGCGAGTGACAAATGTTATTCTTTAGAAAAAAAGAATACTATCGGACATTGTACAAAAATGTTAAAGTATATTTTTCTAAGAACACTCTTCTTACCCATAATTGCTTCCTTTTTTTTTTAAAAGATACTGTATGTTTCTTTCTTATTCTATGCGTCTGGAATATGTAAAATAATCTTAATTACTAACGATATATTTGGCAACAACGAATGGAAACTACGAATTGTTGACAAGACTACTAAACAATAGGATTTTTTGTGAGAGACTTATGTTTCATCTGCAACACAAATCTTTACATTATGTTCTACTCGAACTATAATTTTCTTTTTTTTCTGTAAAGGTAAAAAGGTCTTTTTTGTTTCAGTTGTGTTTCGAAAAATTGTTCGAATTCTGTCCAGTGGCATTCATCAAAAAAATGGAAGTAATATCCTTGAAACTGTCGCTGAACTTAAATTACTTCCTTATTTAACAATTAATATGTCATACCTGATTTTCACGAAATGTATATTTGTTATATTCTGTCATCATTTCTAATAAAATTGGTATTTGTGCACAAAATGCATCATGCATTTCCTTTTCACTTTCCTAATCAAGAACAAAAAAAGAAAGTTATGTTCTTTGAATATATTTTCAACTTTACATGTGGTGAAAGCTCAATAAGTAAAAATTTATTTCGTTCATCTTCTACTTGTGAATCGATACCATTTGAATAAACTGCAGGTAATCCAATAAGAGCATCTATGATACGATAAATGCTTTATAAAAATTTGACAGAAAAAAAAAAAGTAAACCAACCAATTAAACTGACAAAGCCATGTTTCCATGATCGTAAAGCTGCTTTAAAACTAAAACAATTTGAGACAATACGATCTAGAGCATACATGATTAACATATACAGAGCCCATGATAATTCCTATAAATAGAATTCAAAAAATATAGAAATTTAATACTTATTTTAAAAAGACGAACTTTATAAAGCACTTCATTAGCTGGTTGTATGCCCGACTGAAGTAAGTTACTTAATCTCCATCGATGATGTTGACCAGGAAAATGAATACTATTTACTTCAAATTCTCTATATTAAATAATTAATAATAATCTTTTTCATTATTAGAGAAAAATATTTCTTCATTTACCCTGTTTGTCGAACTGCTTTCAATTGTTCTTCATTTAATTTCAACGATGATCCATCTGGATTAGTTGATACAGCTTCAAGTTCGTTTAATGTTGGAGTTTGAAATAATGATTTAAATTCAATCTAAAAAATAAAATTGACTACTCAATACTCGTACAGTACATTATATTAATTTACTTTATTTGATTCATTAGTTATACCAGTAATTGATGGTGGTAATGATATTTCAAATGTTTTACATTGTTCTAAATTTTTTTCTGCTTTCTGCTCAATAAAAATCAATATATAATAAGAAATCAAAGAATCGTTTTCTTTCTAATACTTCACGAATATAATTTTGTATATCAGCAATATCTGTTGAAACACCAGGTGTTGGAGTATTAAAATGAATTGGTATTGTCTTTTCACCATCAAAATAATTATTCTTACGAATAATAGAACAAAAAATTCAAATTCTTACCTCATATTTTGGCATGTGAATTGATGCACGATTAGTAGAATTTGCCATTGAAAAATATTTTGTTTTATAAACGACAAAATTGTATTATTTTCTAAAAGAATAATAATAAAAAATTAAAAAAAACCTGTAAACACATTAATGTAGGCAGGCTCACCTTCATCATACACCTATATATAGTTTCCTTCTCGTTTTATATTATTCATATGACTCAGACGAAAAAGAAACT